ATGTAATAACACACAAGATAGTTTTTGTTCAAATAAAAAAATTGCTAATTTGATCAATTTGACCTGAACTTTGACGAAATAAACAAACAAACTACTGCACTGCTATACGTTAGCGTGGATTTAGAAAGACTTCCAAAATGTTCGTCTTCTCCCCTATACCGCATTGCCAGATCGCTAGAATTGATATCCCATTTATAAGACCGAGAGTTCCAGCACGGATGCTATTGAGTCACGGGGAAGAGGGTTCAAAGTGTTGGAGCCATCAATATGTCTTTATTGCCTCTTGTGTGTCAACAACAATAACTCATGAAGAATAAGTAGTGATAAGTACAATAACATCTAGTAAATACGGTATAAGATTATAGATACGGAGTGAGTAAATGTTCGTTAGTTGGGATTCTATGTTATTGCTGTTTAATAAACTAAGTCCATAATTGTTAATACTTTTTAGAAGTTCAACATCCTAAAAAATATTTAGAAAAAAAAAATTAGTTTTCATTATTTTGTAAAATGGCAAAAGTATAAATACTTAGTTTAGCCAATGTATTTTAATGCTATCTTCTACTTGCAACAAAAAAAATCATTATTAAGGAACGCGGCAGCGTTCCGCCCCGCCAAGTCCCCCAGCGGTACACAGCTGCTGCAGTGTATATATACATGACGTGACAAAGTGGCTTTTTTACTCGTCTATAGCTCTGAAGAAACAAAAGCTATTAAAATAATTGTTCATCTACTGGATAGGGGCAATCATTCTCAACAAAATAAAAAAAAGAATTTAAAAAAACGGTTGTGTTTGAGCAAAGAAAAACTAGTTTGAAAATTCAAAAATTTTCCGTGTTCTCCTTCTTCTCCTTAAATGTTGACGGACCTACAGCCCAAACCACTGGCTCAATTTTAATGTTCTTTATGTTGTGTGAAAGCCCTTAGCGTGTAGATGTGCCTTTTGAGGGTCTCAAGTCGGTACGTTGACCCATAAACCCTTGGCAAGCCCTCAAAGTACGATTTTGGCCCATTTAAATAACATGGGATTAAAATCAAAACAAATCAAAATAAAAAGAATGACCAGCTGCGATTAAATATCAATAAATTTAAATTTTAGAGAAATTTATAGGAACAGCTGATAATTATTTTAAAACTTTTATAAAGTATTTTTTTCAGGTATACCGAATGATTTGAACTACTTACTATATAAAATTACTTAGAGCAGAGATATTCCCCCCGTGACGGTTCCAAGGGGGGGGGGCTACAGGGGCTAAAGCCCCCCCTCCTTGGACCCTGGAAAAATAAATTTAAACGTACATTTCGTCCTTAAAACACGCAATGTCTTAAACACACATCAATGTAGATTTTATTAAACTTAATAAGCGATAGCAGGAGTAGTATTAAGTTCCACATAGATCAACTTTGTGGACAATAGCACAGCAAATAAAACAATATTACGCAATTGAAAGTTAGTTAGTTGGACACAATTATATACATTAATATGGCTTTAGAAAGTCAGTAAACAGCTTTTAGGACAATATTGCCGTAGCCTACAATATGTTTTGAGATTTTATGAATGCAATCGTCATAGTTAGTATTAAAATGTCTACTTATTCATGACAAATAAAAATGGGGAAATGGGAGGTTTTGCACACAGTTCTAGTCGTTAAAACTGGCTGTAGAAAGTCACCCAAGGGCTCAATTTACACTAGTCTTTAGATATACGGGTTTAATTATCAGAACACTTATGTAACACCAACGCATTGCCAGTAATGTTGGAATTCACTTCAATATCAGGTTGAATTCTATTTAAGTTGGTAAAAGCTTTAAAAACGTTGAAACAGAGGGCTATTACTTTCAACACCTTTATTTACAATTGAACTCACAACAATAAGCATTTAAATCATAATTAAATCTTAGCAATGAAATATAAAGTACAAAGAATAAAATTTATTCATCTGCCCGAATTTTAAGTCAACTATAAATTGGTGCTAAGTAGGCCACCAGATGCAATCACATTTTATACATATGTTTCTATATAATTATATACTAGGATACTAGCTAAATTATTTAACTAAGTCTTTTAACATTGTATTAATAATTTTAACAGCTGTAAATAAAACGTGTTTGTTGTCTTTTTCATGTTTACAAAAAGAGCAGCATTGTTTATGTGTAGTGAAGAGATCTAGTTTAAGAACATTGAGAACATTTCTTAGGACCATTTGGTAAGATACCATGGCTATGTTTTAATTGCATTAAACTTTCTTTCTAATCCATCTATCAATCTAATCTATCATCAGTATGCCTTCTAAAGAAAGACTGGCAAGAAAAAGAAAACAAGAATGGTATTTAGATAACGCCCCTGCTATAAAAAAAAGAAAAACAGAAGAAGCTAGCATACAATCCACTAATAAGAGTTCTACTTTTAAAGCTTGGTACCTTGAACATGCTAAAGGAGAAAAATCCAAAGCGAGAAAACGTTATCTAGCTAATATTGAAACTGAGAGGTTAAGAAAACGTGTGCAGTACAGTGCTAATCCTGAACCTCGCAGAGCTAGGTTGCGGCAACAATATTCTGCTAATCCTGAGCCACACAAGGCTAGAATGCGTCAGAAATACTCTACTGATCCAGAATATTATAAAGCTAAAAAACGTTTAAACTACGGTGCAAAACAAGAAATGAAACAATCTAATCGCAGGAGACGTTACAAAGTACTTCGTGCTAAATACCCTGCCCACTTTCGCTTGCGATATAAACTTAAGGTTTTTCACGAAAGGGTGCAAAAGTGTGCAGCCTATCAAAGCCGACGCTTTTTAAATAGATCTGATGGGAAAAGAAAATCAGTAAAAAATGCAAAAAGGAAAACCAAAAAAAGTGTTGCAGCTTCACATATTTTCTTGGGGAAAATAAATTGTGAGAAAATAGCCAGACTTATAGGAAAGAAAATACCTGAACAAGGTTATACTAAAAGGTTGCTAAGGGCTAAAGAGCTCTTGAAATGGGTGTTGCATGCTTATAAAAATTACAAAAACAATTTCCTTAAGCTATTTGTTAGCCTGCAAAATCGTGCTAAAGAGTCTCTTGCTAAGCTATCTGCAACAAGCACGTTTGAGGACAATGTTGATGCGTTGTGTGGGCACAGTCTTCATGTTTCCACGTCGGAGCCTTATTTCTGGGAGTTTACCTATAGAGTGTTTCCTGGTAAACAAATAACTGTTGGTAACGAGCCCAGCACAGCTCATAGTTCACCAAAGAAAAAGTGGAAATGCAACTCAGATATATGCTTCATTGAGCCTGACCACTTAGAGCAACTTAAATCTCTTTACAATGAAATAGTTTCAAGCTCTCTCACTAAAGGTTCTAAGCTTATTGTCAGCATGGGAGAGCACTCATGTCAAAGTGGTGTATCATCTCGTGTAGGTGTTCATCCTCACTCTTTGGACTGTTACTCAGGAGCATGTGTTTCGAAACTTCCTTTTCTGAGAACAATCTATCCTCACTTTCCTGCAATTCGTAGTCTTGTCTCCAAAATTTACCGACTGTTGAAAATAGCTAAGAAGATTATGCTAATTAAAAATGGCATTCTTAACGTGCAGGCGAACGTGTTGTTTTCGATAGAAAGGGAATTTAAAGAGCAAACAAAAGCCTTTCTTACAGATGACACAAGTGAAAGCAAGGTCCCTGAATCTGAGTCTCAGTTGTTTGCAAAATATCACAAAGCATTTGAGGCATTGGAGAAGCGTTCATCTGAAACGCCAGTGTTTCCCTGTGTCTCATGCGATAAGTTGTTCAGTAAACAGCAAGTAAGCCTGTTGAAAAACCTAAAAAATCAAATTGTAGGACACATATGGCAAAGAATAAAAGACATAAAGAAAGAAGAGTGCAAAACGGGATGGATTTGTCGAGGCTGCCTTGAAAAACTAAGGAAAGGTCAGATGCCTCCTACTTGCATTCTTAACGATCTCTATGTTTGTGCGCAGCCGAAAGAGCTAACTTGCCTTAACAGTTATGAAAAAGTCTTAATTCAGAGAGCCAAAGCATTTCAGGTTGTTACAAAAATGAACACAGTTGGAAAAAGAACAAGTCGAGCTCAGCAACAAATTTCCAAAGTCGTGGGAAGAAGTTTTCATTTGCCACTACCCCTTCAAGAAACCCTGCAAAAATTGCCCAAACCAAGTGACCCTCTGAATCCAAACCACGAGCTGTACGTTTTGGTCAGAGGGGTACCAACCAAAGCAAAGAATGTTTGGCAAATGTTGGTTAGTGTGGATAAGGTACACGCAGCCTTAAGTTTCTTAAAGAAAAACAACGCTCATTATGGTAGCATCGTACTACCTACAGATCCAGAAGGACTCTTCAACCTTAATGATGACACAAATTTGTTTCAATCTACCCATCAAAACGAACTGCCACCTCAGGAAATACTACATAGACGTGCTATATTAACTCAGGTAACTCACGAGGAATGGGATTCAGAAGAGTCTCACTATACAATCCACGCTCTTCATGAATCAAAATCTTATAGTGATGACACCGAGCTCTATAAGATGCTGAAAGTGAATGAACCTCCGATTAGTCATGAAAACAAAGAGATTGACGTGCTTTGTTTCCCTGATTTGTATCCCGAAGGTAAATTTGGCCAGTTTCATTCCAGAGAAACTAAACTCTCTTCTGCTGAATTTATCAAATGTCGGTTGCTTTCAAAGCATTCTCAGTTCAGACTGAATCAGCAGTACCTTTTTGATTTGCTGCACGATGCAAACCTTCGGCAGTTAAGACAAGGAGTATTCCACAAGCTCAACGTCACTGGATTCAGTGGCTCTCTTAGTGCTAGAGACTGTTTGAACAACCTTGCATCGGGAGATTAGAGGGGAACCTGACATCAGTATTCTCCAAACTCAGGAACACTAGCCAGTACTGGATACAGCCTAGAAATGATGTCAATTGCATGGCTCAGCATTATGGACCAGCTACATGGTTTTTAACCATAAGCCCAAGCGATTGGAACTGGGATGACATGGCATTGTTCATTAGGGAAGTTAACCGGAGTGTTCCAGGCGCAGAAAAAAAACAAACTAGTGAACTTGTGGCTATGGATCCTATCAGTGCGTCACGGTTTATCCATATAAAGTTCAAGGCAATGTTGGATTTTATTGTCTCTGATGCTGCTCCTTTAGGAAAAGTCAGTCACTACTTCTACAGGCGAGAATACCAAAGCAGAGGTCTCCAACATTTCCATCTTCTTCTGTGGGTAGAAAATGCTCCTGTAATGGGGACGTCCAGCAACGCAGAAGTAGCCGACTTTATCCTTAAGTACATTACTTGCAAGGTTCCAAATGCATCCGTTTCACCTACTCTCAACAACAGAGTTACAAGTTACCAAATGCATCACCACAACTCGTACTGTATGCGGACAAAGAAAACCAAAACCGGGTTTCGTAAGGCTTGTCGTTTCGGGTTCCCCCGGCCAATCACAGGGAATCTTGTTCTGCGTGACGTTGTCGAGTCTGTAGCTGGCAGAAAAGCTCTCAAGTCTAAGTCACGTCTTTATGACCTACCCAGAACACCAAGCGAGAGCTTTGTCAATGACTACAACCCGGCCGTGTTGCTAGCTTGGAATGGAAACGTGGACATCCAGTATGTAGGCGAAAGCACTTCTATCCTACATTGGTATGTCACAAAGTACACTACCAAAAGTGAACAAAGTCATGCTGGCCAAGTTTTTACAGAGATTAATTCTACAAAATCATTAGCTAGTAGACTGTTTAACGTTGGCCTTAGAGCTTTAAACAACCGTGAGTGTGGTTCTTTAGAAGCTAGTGACACACTGTTGGGCATTCCATTGTACAGCACGGACCCGGAGACAACAATAAGATGGTTGGATGTAGGCATGACCAGACGCAAAAGACTACAAAAAATCGACAAGATACGAAGTATGGACCCAAGTTCAACGAACATATTCTACGAGTCGTGGGTTGATGACCACTACCCAACTAGACCAGACGAACTAGAAGATATGAACTTATACGACTTTGTGAGATGGTACGATATAGCTGCTCAACCACCTAAAGGCGACCGTGAAGTGCATAAGTTGAATTCAGGCAAATTCCTCACTAAAAGAGTCAGACCATGCTTACTGAATCACTATAAGTACAGCCCCACTCAGGATCCTGAAAAATACTACCATGCATTACTTCTTATGTTTATTTGTTGGAGATCTACTGATGAGCTGAAAGAGTCTCATGAAACATACACAGATGCTTTTATGGCCAAGCGGACACTTCTCACTCAAGCCTTCAACTATGACAAACGTTTAAAAGACATTATTGCGGCATCGGAGAATGCAAGAGACAAAATTCAAAACCGAGTTGAAGAGATCAATGCAGAAGAAGGAGAGGTTGCTGATCCATCCAATATAGCCTTTCAGCCCTTTAATGAACCTGTCCCCGCATCCCAGCCTGTCAGGGACAGCAATTGGTCGCCGAATGACGAGCCGTTTGAGAAAAAATACCAAAAACTCAATGACGACCAAAAGAGAGTGTTTGATTATGTCAAACGAGTTGTTGCAAACTCTGATGGGACAGATAAATTTCTGAGACATTTTGTAAGTGATGTGGGAGGTACTGGTAAGAGTTTTCTCATAAAAACTATCAGCTCTTGGACTAAAAAATGTCTTCAAGCCTCTACATCAATATCAGCTCCCACAGGACTAAGTGCTTACAACATCAATGGTTCTACGATCTACAAAGTGTTTCAGCTGCCAGTTAAGCATGGAAAAACTCCAAAGTACAAAGCTCTTACTGATGATGTTTTAAAAATGTTGAGATCCAACCTGAAAGATGTGGTGCTCTTCATAATAGACGAAGTGTCCATGGTCTCCAATCTAACATTGATGTACATAAATCTCAGACCAAAGTAACGGCTGGTTTGGTAAAAAACATATACTGCTCTTTGGAGACCTTTTACAACTTCCACCAGTACACGAAGACTCCCCATTCATTGAACTTGACAGTAGCAAACTTAGTTCTTTTGTTGGCTCTCTGTCTTGTGTTAACATCTGGTCTGAACAGTTCTCTTATGATGAACTTACTACAAACATGCGACAAGCTCAAGATTCTAAGTTTGCTCAGTATTGCTAAGTATGACCGTTGAGGACATCCGTCTAATTGAAAGCAAGAAAATACATCTTAATGGAAAAACTGCTTGTGAAAACCTTTCTCTATTAGGAGATTACTTGTCTGCTTTACCCAACAATTCTGTGTGTCTTTGTTCAACTGGTTACCAATGCTCCATAATAAATGATGAAATGGTCAATAGAATAAGTGGTCCTGTCGTTAACTTGGTTGCAAAAGACTCAGTTGACTGTCTACCTCGTCAACAAAACAAAGTTAAAAAGATACTGTCCTCTTACAACTCTGACTGCAGCAGAACGGCTGGTATGGAGAAAATTATTCCTATTAAGGTTGGTGCTAAAGTTATGTTGCTTAGAAACATTGACGTCACTGTGGGGCTAGTTAACTCCGCCATTGGAACAGTAACGGGGTTGAGGTTTAATACAGACAATTCTGATGACGTAGACTCAGTGACAATTAACTTTGATTGTGGCATTACCCATCACCTACAGCGAGTAAACGTCAAGTTTCAAGTTATGGATAACGCATTTGTGTATCGAGAGCAATTCCCGATATCGATGTCCTACGCGGTTACAATTCACAAATGCCAGGGCCTCAGCTTAAATAGCGTAATAATTGATATTGGGGAGTCCATATTTACATGTGGCCAATCATATGTTGCCTTGTCACGAGTGACTTCATTAGAAGGGCTTCATCTTATTAACTTTAACCCAAGAGATGTGAAGCCTCAGAAATCCGCCATTCTCGAATACAACAGACTAAGGCAGAAGTACAGGTCTGACCTTCCACTTTACAACACAAGTTGTGACTCCTCTTCGGCTCCTTATGTGAGAGACAGGAAGTGGTGCCAGACCAAAAATGTCGAAAAAGTGCAGGATGAGAGTACAAAACCGGTACCCTCTGCAAAGACTACCGGAAGATCGAGAGTTCAGTCAACTTTAGCATTAAAATTTATTTTTTTTTTTTAAGAGAAAAGAGTATTTTTATTTGAACGGTTAATTTTCTACAAAAATAAATAAAATCTAACAAAAAACCACTAAGTGGTAACACTTTCCCCACCAAGTCAGCAATCCAAAAAGATAATAAATCATTACTTTTTCCGCCAAGAAAAACAATGTAATGTATGTAAGTTTGGCAGCTTGGCGGCAGACTTTTGCTTGGTTTTTCTCATTTAAGTTACGTTCGTGGATAATTTCACAAATCAACTTCTCTAATTAATTAGTCCAACTAAGTATAATAATTTCGAGGTAATCAGTAAATATAAAACCATCACTATTATGATTTTATGAAATGTGGCACAAATAAGGTCAAGTTTTGTAAAATAAGCTCTCACCTAGCAATGTACTAATGGGAGAGATACTTGCTCAATGAAACTAGTTTTATGGTATTTTTAAAGTGATCGAGCAAAAGTCTGCAGCCAAGTTGCCAAACTTACATACATTACATTGTTTTTCTTGGCGGAAAAAGTAATGATTTATTATCTTTTTTGGATTGCTGACTTGGTGGGGAAAGTGTTACCACTTAGTGGTTTTTTGTTAGACAAATCATGTAAAAACAAAATTTAACATATTACAAACACTAGTAAGGACGTAAAACTAGTTCGGATGAAAATCTAATTTACTCCCGTTATACTGTTGCAACAAGAGAAGTAACAAGTGAAGTGGGTTATAAGTAGGTATGTATGTGTATAAAAAATGTTTCTAACAATTATTGAATATATTATATTTTTTTAAACTATATACATAATTTTCAAGATATAAATTAGGGGTAATCTAATATTAGTATCCTATTTAGACATCATTGACTATTTAAAAGTTGCTATTTTTTTGCATTTTTACATATACTAAAGGTTACTTACATTAAGATATTTAATGTAACACTTATTACTCCTCAGTGTTTAAATTATTTAGTTTTTCAATTGAAAGATATTACAGTTCCACAAAAACTCCATTTCAAGGTTTATGAGAGAGAACCGACATACTGAGCAAACAGCCTTTAGAAAAACTGGAATCATTATAGGTAATTATTGGTGATATTAATTCTAAACACGTTAAACCATTATTGGAACATTAGAAACGAAATCTTTGCCAAGACATAGCCCAGGTAGTTATTAACAATTCTCTATTTTAATAAAATGTATCAACATGCAATCTTTTGTTTGTCATAATGTTTTCATTGTCAATAAAACCAGTCAAAGATTTTGTTCGACAGCAAATATAAAATGGCTTGTGTTGTGTTTTAAATTAAAATAGAAAACTGAAATTAGACCACCCTTCATATACAAACAAAAAGACAGTGTCGTAGTTTAACGAACGCTTTATTTATTTTAACATTAATTAAATTGACATTTCACATACGAACAATCTGATATTCTACTAAACGGGGGTTTACATTTAAGCATATACTATGTTTTATATTATATGCGCATATAATTTATGCATTGATAAGAGGATTCAGTTTCAACATATTTATGAGACATTGGTCTCCATTTACATAATTTGTTAAAACTAGCATCTCAAAGTAGGCAACTCATTTAGGTTTTAAAACGTACACTTTTAGTTTATAATTTCTTGCCTAAAATGACTTCAATCATACCTATACTATTGTTCTAAGGCGAGTGTTCACAGTAAACGTCTAAACATTCGATAGTAAACACATTTTACCACTCCTATTTATCAAACCTGCCATGCCGCACATAAACTAAAGCCTTTCGACAAACAATCTCGGCTAAAACAAATTGTTGCTGGTTCACCCTCATCTGTATTGGTAACAACAACATTTGCTACGTTGTATACAAGCACACACTGGTAGCAAAGCACGCCATAGCCTTAATATATAGACGGTGGTATTACTGTACTTCCAACAAAAATATGTTTGTGTCAATGAATAAAAGCAAGGTTTGAAAACGTTTGTATTCTTGTTAAAAGCAGGACACAGAATTTATAAATTACCGTTTTATGTATTAATGTTCGATTTAAACATGGATCAGTTCAATCCGCTTTTGGTAAATTAAGAACGCAATAAGCCCTACTAACTAAATTGTACCAATTAATTTTATATTGGAGGGATTTAAATGGATTAGTAGTCAACTTAATCCCCAAAAGAATAGATACCACTCACAAGCTATCGTTCAGAAATATTTGATAATATTATAATAGTAAAAATCCTCATTAATATAATAATATAAAAAATCATTCCGAAAAAAAATTAGACAACCTTTGATGTGCACTAATTGCCTTTTAAAATACTTCCTGCTAACATGGAATCTTCAATAAAACTGCTTAATGTACATTATATAATACAAAAAACATTGATCAAAAAACAATTATTTTGAAAATATTAACCACAACATGAGAAAAACGCCATTTTCAATTTTTTTTACCATATCTACTCTGAAAATGCTAATGTATGATAATAAATCTGATGCATGAAGCAAAAATGTAATAAATAAGTAGTGAAATGGTTTTCACCTCGGTTTTTCCATACAGTACAACTAAACCCTGAGAACGACGTTGGTGGCACACTCGTTACCATCACGCAATGACTAGCACGCAATCGTACAACAAAATAATGCAATCAATCTTGCAGACCAGTCTTTCAACACGGGTCTACATGTGTCAGATGGAGTATGTTTTTAGTTTTCTATATAAACTAATCATAGCAGAAGTATATATTTAGTTCCTTGCATTTTACCTGTTGCAGAAGAGCTTAAAAACAGCAATAGTTATACTTACGGAAAGGAAATGCCATGATATTGAAACCCCGTCATATTAGTTTCAATACACAATCAAATTAAATATAATTATTTTTGATAAATATCCTGCTCACGTAAGGTTTAAAAATTAAAGGAATACCATCTTCTAAAGATCCAAATACCCAGTGTATATTAGAGTATAAACTCGTGGTGTGCATGTATTTGGAAAATGCTTGGTAGTTTATGTGTTTTTACAACTCTGTATTACCCAAGGCCACGACTATCAGCCGAATACTCGATCTTTAAAGCTACTTGGTTATTATTTTAAACGCATTTTATTCAGAATTTCCCCTGAAATTCTAACATGATCAGAACTGTGATTTCTCAGTATGATGATAAAGATTTACTCTTATATTATTTTAAAAAGTAATATGTAACCATTTTTTTTTGCAAAATCACTAATCTAGCATCTTAACAGATATTTAACTTTATACTATTTGAAAATTAAAGCAAAAGAAAATATTTTTAAAATTATTTAAGTGTCTGAGTTACACCGTTGACAGCTGAATATCACATCTAAATTATGAAACAGCTAGATGTAGGAAAAAAATCATCCATTCACTTGAAAAATCTGCTATACTCTATAAAAACTCACTTTCTTGATTAGTTTTTTTTGCCTCTAATAGTTTGTGTGACATAAATATACTATTAGTTACAATAGGTTGTCCTTTTAATTATACGTGGTTACAATTAACCAATAACTAACCAATAATTAACAGTTAGCGTAATCGGCAGTAATCATTAACTGAAATCAGCACAATCAGTTCAACAAAGTGAATTCAGGTTTTACCTGTTTACATAATTGAAATGGTAATGGCATGTCTATCCACGTACGAATTGAATATAAATACCTACTGAGGCAGTACTCGTTACAGTAACCTTGTACCAGATAAATATAAAGTCATAATTAACATGAAAAAATCATAACATGTAGCAAAGCATAATCACCACAGCGCAACACTGCATTTCCGTGTCACCAGCGCCAGAGTTGAATAACAATAATTAAATAGAAGTATTGTGATATAAGACTGTAATTGTGATATATTTGCAAATCAACCTGCATTTGCAGTAGAATAAACGTGTTCAGATGTTAGATTTGATAAACAAGTCACGCATATTTATTGCGAGTTTGTGTTTGATTGGACTGTAAAAACAGTTTTTCATGTTAATGATTTTTATAATTAAGAATCAATCCAAAAAATTGAAGAGGGTAAATAAAATAGGATTAAAAACGTTTGGTATTACATTCTTTTTTTAATTTGAATTTTCCAAAATAATTGTTATAAATTATTAAATTGTTCAAAATTTTATTTACGAAATAATGATGGTAGTTTTACGATTAAAACCTATTTAATAACAGAACATTATAACAAAATGCAAATATTGATATATTTTTTAGATAAAAAACATGTTAAAGATAAAAAAATATACTATAACTGTAATGTTCCATTTTTCTTATGTTTATATATAGTTTTAATGAAAATGTTTTCATTAAGTTTCTTTATAAAAGTCAATTAAAAACTACTAAAGGAAATGTTGACAAACATTATTTCTTTTTACAAAGCAGCTTACAAAACCTTTGAAGACAGTTTGAATTTAATATTAAAAATGTATAGATTTCTGACGAATAAATTAATAATTTACAAAGCTTTATTAAACGAAACGTAAAAATTTAAACTCGTGAAAATTATAAAATTATCCTTTTACACAAAAAGCAAACCTCAGCCAAACATTTCGTTAGACAAAAAGAAACTAAAACCGAGAACCAATCTGACTTTACAGTCCTTGTTATATCCTGTCCAAAAGTCGCTCATCCATATTTATATCCTGATAAATAAAACATCAGAATTACCATAACCACAATAAACCGCATACTTTTATTACAGGGGCGGAGGCGGGGGATTTAGCTCATGAAGCCATTCAACTAAAAACACATTGAGCAGAAAGAGCCGAGAGCGCCCTTAAGCTAATACGGGCGCATGGCCGGGTGAATCAGATCAACTAGTTGTGGGGTGAGGGTGGTCTCGGTTGGGGGTGGGGTGGATTGGTAGGGGTAGTCACCGAGGCGCTTCCAGCCTTCAGTCGTGATGTGCGGTACCTCATGGATACCCGACTACTCATCCTGCTGCCCTTCACACTCGCGTTCACTCAGGATAATGTTGGTGAGAAACTGGGAAATGAGTAAAAATATATTTTAGGTTTAATGCAAATATTTGCTACGCTGTTTTAAAATTTTGGTCAATAATTTTACAAAACTTAAAAGTTTGTGTACGGTTAAAACTAGTCTAAACTTTTCTCATTACATCAGTTTTAATATGAATCAAATAATTGAAAATGGCTTGGTTAGTGTATTAAATACTTCGCATTTACATCATTAGGGCTCTACAAGTTTTTGTTTGGCAGTTAACAAATTAAGAATGATATAATGCAAGACTAATCATTGATTTGATCAAAATGTTAGCAAGGACATAACCTTTTTTGTTTAGAAAAATAATTAAACTCAAAATTTCTATGGTTAATTATAAGAATTTACAAGTCGTTTTATTTTAATAGGGATTTTGATTAATACTTTAGTTACTCTATTTTTTTTTTTTTTATTAATGGAACACTCCAAAAAATGTTGCTAAATAATGCTAAATGATATTTTGCATGAAAAGGTTCTAAGGGCTATGCGATTTAAAATATCATATAATAATTTACATAATATTAAAAGGGGAGGTCAATATTTAAATAACTGTAGAATAACATAATATGTTATTGTCTTATATTATGTATATATTGTCTTATATTGTGTTTTGTGGAGTAATTTAAAGTTACTTTAAAAACTGCTACGAAACGTGCTACTGTAATAACGGCTTAGTTATTGTATGAAACTTGGTTTAAAGTCTACGAGAATTCAATTAAAACTAGTGAAGAATAGATTTTAAAAACCTAAATTATAGGTTTAATTAACTTCGCCATCAAAAGGCACTGAATAACCAATAACGACTTAAAAGGAGGTTGGATCCATTCAGGGCAATAATTAATTAGTAATACTTCCAAGTGACATCATTAGCAATCGGAATCATACCGAAAGCATGCAACGGAATAAGATAAAATAGATTTTCTTAATAAAATATGTATTTTTAAATAAAAAAATGTCTCCATCATACCTGCAGACTTAGGAAATTTAATTTGCCTCATAGTATTTTTACTAGAATATATGTATACATAAAAATGACAGGCTTATTCTCATTTAAAATAACACTAGGCTTTATTAGTACTTAGGTTTTAAACCACAAAGAAAATTAAATAAGGTTTGTTTAGGTATGCTTTAACAATAATATTCGCTATGTTATTGTTAATAACTGAGAGTTAAATAAATAAATTTGACATATTTGATCAAAATATATCATGAAACAAACAACATGAAAAATATATATAAAATATATCATCACGCACGGTACGAAAGTTAATCTATTCTTAAAAAATATTACAAAAGAATTTTACATTTAAATTTGGAATAATTTGTCGTAGTAATTCTTCAGCGTTCAACAAAGCTTCAATATACTAGATTGTATGGTTTTATGAGCTCAACAAAATGAAAAAAAATCTAAATAGACGTTTTTGTTTAGGGCTTGAAATTAGATAATGTTTACTCAAGGTATCGTGAAAACAGATGGATTACATTTATAAATTTTAATGAGCAAGTGGTGTTCATTAGCATCTGGGAACTTCAAAACGAAAAAAATAACAAGCCCCTAGTCACTATGATACTTATATCAATAGCATATTCCCCATACATGAATTATGCTAATAAAAAGAAAAAAAAAATACTTAAATGAGAAGGTCAATATTGTGTATGAAGAAAATGTCCACAATTTTATTGATTTCTTTATTAAATGAAGATAGAAAAACAATAATAAATACTAAGAATAAACAAACATTTATAGTTACAAAAGGTCTTCAATAAACTTTTGAAGTTTTTATTAGTATAAGCCAGATTGAAAAAAAATATAACTAATGAGGAAAGATAGAAATCAACTGTGTGCAATGTTTGGTTATACTTTTATCGTATCAGTATACTACATTATTTAAATAGCAAAATATAAAATACATTTTTAAATTTAACTTTTATTTATTAAAATAGTTATACAATTCACATATATTTGTTGCTGTCAAAATAAATCAAACTAGATAAACTAAATTGCTTAGTTGAAAATAAAATTGCTTGTTAACAGCTAAACAAGATTTTTATAGGCCGATATGGCTCATTAACCTGTTGAATATAACCAATTGACACGTCTCAATTTACGTTTGGTAGTTAAATAAATCTACAGTGTAATTAAAGTGAAAAAATCACGTATACTATTTATTATTATGCTGTGTAAATTAAACCGATGTTATGAGAAAGCATTGCAAATGACATTTTTAATACTAATTGCAGCCAAATCACAGATATAAACGTACTTAGTTTTTAATTGCCAATTAGTGGAAATTAAATTGTAAATTAAATCAAAACGTTTGTTCTGTATTTATTGATAATATTCTGTAAGATCTTAGGATTGGAGGAAATCTGCATACAAAAGAACGCTTTATAATGTTTTCCACATCATTGTGATAAACCAAACTCCATATTGGGCAAGACATTTTTAAAGGACAAAGAATCAAACACAACATCTTCTCCACTGTTATCTAAATACGTATATGTATATTTACCATTATATTATATACGACCGAATTTTAAACAACTTTATGCGGGAATTTACTATATTAGATTGTGTTGAAGGCGCACGGGTATTTATGTACACCTTAGATGCAAGAATAGACAGTATTGAAATTGAGTTTGCATACAAATACATGTATATACCATATTTCTGTTATTTGCATAGTAAAATAATTTTTAAATACAATTTTATTTCCATTACTAAATATCACCATAAAAGTTTATACGAACTAATCATAACCAACTTAAACTCTTTTTTCCATATTATATTCCCGATTTCTTAATCAACCATATGTTTTGCAACTCAAAAAAAGCTATATATCCTAGGGTAAGGCCAAAGCTTTTCAAATGGCAATATCTTATTGTCTTAAACACTTAGTAGGACGTGTATTGAGCCTAGTTTATAATTTGTTTAGAGCATGTTTTCAAAAATTTTTCCTACAAGTCTAATTTTAAAGAATCTTGTCAAAAATCATTTTCCAAACTAGTATCAAGGTTTCTCAGTAAACTCAGTTACTAAAATCTCTTAACCACTCCCTTTTATACGCGAATCTAACTATATAAAGTAAATTCAATTACGGATAACTTTGGAATCGGATCATTTTAATTCCTTCTCTCTTAAATGTAAATCTACAAATGATCTGGTAATACAATTCCCAGTTCTGTAATATTCAGATATTTGTTCGCAGCTCATCACTTATTAATATTAAATTTTAAAATATTTAATAATTTTGGTTAACAAATATTCTTATTTTACCTTTCCAGTTGGTCGAAAATCTTAAATACACTAACGATTAGCTTATGACAAAAAAAAGAATAATTAAACAACAGCTGACATAATAATTAAATACATCTGCTATAAACTCGTCCAGTTGAGTGAAGCTTGCTTTTACGTGTAAATGAAACAGTTTCTCAAAGGGTAAAATGAAGAGGTAAATGCACTGGCACACAGACAGCTGTGCAAAGTATAAATGTTGTTTGTCGTGTTCATCGCTCTAAGCTTTGGCGAAGCGAACATGAGCTTTCCTCTAACATGTTGTGAGCTTTAACCTGCATGGGTTTATCAATTATGCTGCTTGATACGTGAAATTATTCAAATATTCGTAAAACATGTTATAGCATTTTTATAATGCACCTGTCCGAGATCGAAGATTAATTGTGTAATTCTCTAGAACTAGCTGTTTAATTAAAGCTCAAGTGGAAAAATATATGTGGGGATCATTAAAACTAGTTAAATACTGTTATATAAGTAATTTAGATGCTATAATTATGCTAGGTTGTTGATGTAATACTTATTTATTTTCTTATTGTTATTAAAATTAGCCTTATTCACTGAAGCAGTAATTCTATCACATATAGAAAGTTAATACCCAAGGAATAAAGTAGTTTTTTAACTAGAGGCTGATGGAGGAATTCAACTCATGTAGATTTTGAAACTATTTTAGATAATACAGTACAAACAACTAAACTTAACTACTAATTAAGGGCGTTAAGTGGTTAAGTGCGTAGACCTTTTTAGCTTGGGTGAGCCTAGGTCGTAGGTGCTTTACCAGGATGTGTTAAAAATATTGTTCAGATCAGTTTTCAGAATATCACATGCATAGCCCTATTCTTCCTCTAGACCAGCTTACAATATTCTCTTAAAGATACATTTAAATTATGCATGAAGCAGAACACATCAATTTTCAATATGACACCCCACCTAAATTCTTAGACTAAAAATGCTGTTTTACTGTGGAAATAATTACACCTGTGACATGGAAAAAATATAACTATGGTAAAAGGGGTGAATAGTAGCAATAAACAAAAAGAAATCCCTAAATTTAAACAGCTAAACATAATACAAACGTTTAAAAATAAACAGACAATTTCATAATAGTTATTAAACAAAATAATAGAGCAGACCTCTTCACGACCTTGGCAACGATAAATATCGTTTAAGGAACCCTTTAATCACTGAATAAGGACATTCTATGTAGCCAGAGTCTGTAACGTCCGTCTATCGCATTAATCACGTTTAAATTGCCTCTGTTAGCAACTCAGTCCCATTGCGACCCTAACTCGTGGCTTTTACGCCATTTAAGTCGAGCCCTTTAAAGTTTAAAACTGCAGGGTTTAAATGTACAGCATTACGTTGGTTGCTTCTACTTCCAAGTAAAATAAATGATTTGTCAAAAGTCTAACGGTGAAACATTTTCTTGAAATGATAAAAAAATTATTTTCTCTTGTAATGTGCAGTTTGTACATAGACAGTTTTGAGATAATTCAGTCGAGTTTCGTTAAAAGTAAAATTTGTAAAAAATGTTGGTGTAACATAATATTGAGGTTACCTGTATATATAACTGAAACTATTATTTCAATGTAAGTGCTTGCAGGAATCATGGGATAATATACCATCCGTTCTACTCATATAATAGATTTATTTCAAGAATCTATCTTTTAATATCCGCTTTTAAG